CAGCGGTATCATGGGGATGGTCCTGGATGGGCCTACAGATCTGCCTGGAGCACCTTTCCAACAGGTCACTGAGAAGTCCCTCAAACAGATCCTTCCCTGGGCCTCCCAGCAGTGGCACTAGGCGTGTCTGGGGAGGCTGTGGTGCTCAGAGTCACCCCAGTTGCCCTGTATCCACCTCCTTCCTCACCTCTCCCTTTGGGTGGAAAAAGCTGTAGAGGTGATTCTTTAAACCTTCATTATGCTACTTGCATGGGTTAGGGCCCCGCTGCAATTCACAGAAGCCCACTTGGGCAGCTTAAGTGAGAAACTTTTCTTTTTTTGTTGTTTTTTGAGACAGGGTCTCACTATGTAGTTGAGACTGACCTGGAACTCACTATGTAGCCCAGGCTGGTCTCGAACTCTCAGCAATCCTCCTGCCTCAGCCTACCAAGTGCTGGGATTACAGGCATGCACCACCACGCCCAGCTGTGAGGAAGATAATTTGTCCTGTCAGGATAAGGAGGCAGAAGGGAGTCTAAAAGAGCAGACGTTGAAAAAATTGAATGCTTTTGCTGGAAAATTTTCTGCCTGAAAATGATAGAAACACCTTGAATGAGCCTCTACATAAGACAGGACTCTCACAAGGAGGGCAGAGCAGAGCTGAATGGAGTAGTGCTTAGGAGTGGCAGCTCTAAGCCAGTTGATGATGTGTGGGTACTGATTCCATCTTTCAAGTCATGTCTTGCTCAGTTCCCTCATTTGCAAAGTGGGGATGTGAGGATTGTTGTGAGGTCTAGGACTGTAGAGTTTATGCATGCAGTGCAGAGAGGAAACGCCCAGTGTGTCACAGATGCTCAAAGGAATGTAAGCTATAGGGCTGGGCATGTAGCTCAGTGGTATAAAGCTTGCTTGTCTAGCATGTGTGAAACCCTGGGTTCGAGCCACAGCATTGAAAGAAAAAAAAGCAAACCTTTGGTTTAATTTAGTTCAGACCAGTAGAACGGAACTCACTTCTGTGAAATCACTAAGTCACATTTCGTCTCAACTCTACTCTTTACTGTATGTCCATGTTTATCCAGTGAGAAGGCTGAGGTTCCCTGCAACTCCATGGTAGCAACAGAGCCCATCAATCCTTGCCTCGCTCACAGCTGCCACCTTGTGCCACAAGTGGTGTAGTGAAGCCCTTTTTTCCTCCTTTGTTCTCTTCCTTTCAGGCACAACTGCCCCTCCTGGAGGTTGGAGGGAAAGTCCTCCAGATTTTGAAAACCCAAGGTAGTAGCTGGATGAGGTACCAGACCTTGGGAGTTCAGTTCTCAGCTTTGGATGACCTGCAACATTCCATCTTGGGGCGACCTTGGAGTGATCCCACTTACTGCAAGCACTACTGGTCCTGATTGTCTTTAAAGCATCTTAGCTCCACTTTGGATGCACAAGAGAATCACATGGAGAGCAGTTAAAAACCCTGGGGCAAAGTGTCCCACCCATCACTGAGATAGCTTGGGCATCTGTGTGTTGTAAAGCTCCCTGACAAAGCTAGGCATGGTGGTGCACCCCAGAATTCAGGAGGATGAGGCAGGAGGATTGCCACAAATTCAAGGTCAGACTGGGGTTTACAGTGAGTTTAAGGCCACTCTGTCTCAAATAAATTAAATCAATAAAAATAAAGTGATGGGCTGGGGATTTAGCTCAGCGGTTCGGTGGCCTGCCTTGCAAGAGCAAGGACCCAAGTTCAATCCCCAGTACCAATAAATAAATAAATAAATAAAGTGATAATAAAACTCCCCTAGGATTCCAAAGGAGAGAACTGTGGTTCTAGATGTCCCATCTCTATTGCCACATCCCATTTTCAAATTCCTTTTTTGTTCCAAAGTCAGCCCTGGCCCAGAAAACAACTTCATCCCAAACCCAGGACTGACCAGGGCCTTTCCCTGGAGATCCAGAGCCTCTGTGGGTATCTTGACTGGCCACCCTCCTCCCTGTGCCTAGACCCCTGCTTTTCTGACAGTGCCTTCATCTCCCATGCACCCCTCAGCTCATTCCCTGGCCAGGGGTTCAGCTGGGTGCTGAGGATGTGTCCAGACCTGTAAACCCAGGATGGCACAACACACTCATCCCCAGGATCCAAGGGAGCTTGGTTGCAGGACCCCCATACATACCGAAGTCCAGAGATGTCCGAGTCCTTTATGTAAAGTGGCATAGCATTTGCATCTAACCAAGCACATCCTCCCAGATACTGTAAACCGTCTCTAGATTACTTAACTAATACAAGGATGAATCCGCTCAACCGCTGTAACAAAATACCACAGATCATGGCTTAAACAGCAAAAGTTTGTCTCACTCTTCCAGAGGCCACAAGTATAAGCTTGGCAGGATTGTGTTCTTCTGAGGCCTCTGTAGAGAACCTCCTTCTCCCTGTGTCCTCACGTAGTCTTTCCTTGGTATGTTTTATGTCCTACTCTTTTGACCTCTTTAAAGAACCTATGACCAAATGCAATCAATCATGGAATTGGAATTCCAAAGGAATTCTGACATATTGGGACTTAAGAAGTCAATGTAGGACTGGGGATTTATCTCAGGGGTTCCACCACCTGCCTTGCAAGAGTGAGGACCCAAGTTCAATCCCCATTACCTAAAAAAGAAAAAAGAAGTCAATGTATAGGGTCTGGGATTTAGCTCAGTGGTGCCGCTGCCTGCCTTACAGGCACAAGCACCGAAATCCTGGGGGGGGGGGGGGGGGGAGGAGTTAATGTAGAGCCAGGCACGGTGGTACATGCATGTAATCATGGCACTCAAGACATTCAGGAAGGAGGGTCGCTGTGACTTTGAGGCCAGCCCAGGCGACATGAGTTCAAGTCCAGCCTTAATTGCAGCACTAGACTCTGTCTCAAAAAACAAATATATAAATTTTGGAGTGCGCTGAGAGCTGAGGTCAGTGGTAGACCATTTGTATGTCATGCACAAGGTCCTAGGTTCAGTCTCCACAAACACACACAAAAAGCCTTTTTTTTTTTCTCACAGGCTATAGTTCAGCACATAATATGAGGCTCTCCAACTCAAATGCTGATGGGCCAAACAGGTAATGTAGACTAATGAAGTGAGCTGGGAAAGATTTGGGTCTCTCATTCTTTTATTTTCTCATTTTGAGAGAAACATAGGTAAAACATATTTCACTTTCCTCCTCACTCTGTTGAATACAAGACCAAGGACCTCTGTTCAAGGCTGTAGTCCAGCTTTCCTCCCAGAACAAGCACCTAGCACCTAGTAAGTGCTCAGTAAATATCACTGGGAGAATGAGTCAGCAGCATGGCCTGGACAGTGGGGAGTGGCAGGAGCAGGGTGAATCCTGACCAAGAGAGTAGCAGGCATCAGCTGCAGCCACCTATCACCAGATGCCCAGAAGAGAGACTTCCGAATCCCCACTTCCCAGTGGTGCCAACTAGCTCACGAAGCTTAAGCCGTTCCTGCAGGCCGCCTAGTGCTCTATTGTTCTACTGAACTGTACCACACCATTAGCTCCTTTTTTGAGGATAACTAGAAGTCAGTGTAGAAACAAAGGACTTAAGATGCAGGCAAACACAGGACTCACGCAGAAACACCACAGCCTTTCACTGGTAGTCTCACACATCTGAGTCTTGACCCTCAGCCCTGACCACTCCACTCACCCAGGCTGAAAGGGGTTGAGACTGTCCTGTTTCTCCTATCCCTGCACATTTATGAAAAAGATCCCCAGTCAGACAGATGAGCACAGGTTGACCCCACGGTGGTAGCTGCTTCTGCCTCCCACAGAAGCACCGCAGCTGCCTGCCTCACTTGTTAGAAATCTGCTTGTCCTTTGTCCCATCTCCTCTTCAGCCTCAAGGCTGTACTGGCTGGG